GGGGAGAAAAGGAGGTGATATACTACGATGGTGGGAGGAATATGCCAAACCAGGAATCAAAAATTTTTATACGAGGAAAGGAAAGGAGGTAAGTCAATGGAAATATGGCTTACAGAGATATTTGGAAGGGCAGCTGAAACAGTGCTATGAAGGATTTAGTGGGGGTTTTTCCAGTACAAGAGATTGAGGGCATCAAAGCGCAATTAATGGAAATGCAGAATGCAAGATTTGATGGTGAGAGAATGAGAGGGGGGATTGGAAGATGTTTTATGGGGAGATAAGCCATCCGCCTGTGTATTGCGGCGATTAAAGACGCGACAGAAGACAATGACTATGATGAAGTTGGACGTACATACGGATGTGGGAGGGTATATGATGGGACAGAGGTTAGTAACTACGGAAAGTATGAGTGGTTATGCTGATAAGTGGTTTGAGATATATATGAAGGGGAAACAGGAAGATAGCAGATATGAAGATTTTAGAGAAGGGGATACAGAGAAACCTAGAGTCAGCAGATAGAGAGATGATAGAAGGGCCTATAGATGAAGAGGAAGTGTGGACGGCTTTAAAAGGGATGAGCGTCGGGAAAGCACCTGGGATAGATGGAATCCCAAATGAATTTTATTTGAGCAACTGGGATGTCATGAAGGAATTCTTGGTGCAGTTGATGAATGTAATGAAGGATAAGAGAAGCATGAGTCTAACACAAAGGACAGGTGTAGTAGTTATGGTTCCCAAAAGGGGGAAGTACAAAATAGCATCCTAGAATATAGAGGTTTATCATTGTGCGGGGATTATAAATTGTTTGCCAGGGTGTTAGGTAATAGATTGCGTAAAGTAATTGGGAAGGGTTATAGATGGGGGACAGATGGGTGTGCAGGGAGAACAATGTTTAGTGGGCATGGAGGATAAAAGGTTATATAGAGGAGCGTAGGATGGATGGTGGAGGTGTTCTTGCGTTGGATTGGAAGGCTGCTTATGATTGTGTAGAGAGAGAGACTTTATGGATGATCATGAGGAAGATTGGGTTCGGTGAGGAAATTGTGCAGTGGGCGGAAACTTTATATAGAGGTGCAGAAATACGAGTGCAAATTAATGGAAGGGTGGGGAAGATGGTTAGTATGGGTAGGGGCTGAGGCAGGGATGCCCCATGTCTCAGATCCTATTTGCATGTTTGCAAGACCCATTATATAGGTTGATAAATGTTGGAGTAAGTGAGGGGGAGGTAAGACTTAGGGGTGCTACGGGTATAGTTGGTTATGTGGATGACACGACGGTCTTAGTGGGGGGAGAGGAGGGGTTAAAGAATGTAAGTAGAATTGTTGAAATATTTAGTGGAGCAACAGGTATGAATGTTAATAGTGAGAAGTCGAAATTACTGGAGGTGGGGTCATGGGTGGGAGGGGAACTGGGAAAAAAGTATGGATGGCAGGTAGTAGAGCAGATAAAAATTTGTGGAGTATTGTACAGAGGGGGAGCGCAGGGGACTAGAGAGGCAAATTCTAAAAGGGTAGTGCAAAGAGTATTGCTTAGGTTAGGGGGAATAAGAACGAGTGGTTTGACTATACAACAGAGAGTCATTGTAGTTAATACACTCATTTATCCTAAATTGTGGCACGTGGCTGTGGTGTACCCCTTGATGGCGGAAGACGTGCGCCAAGTGCAAAGGAAAGTACTGAATTTTATATGGGGATATGGTTGTCATTGGCTGAGGCAAACGGTTGTAATGACACCGCTGGCAAAGGGGGGTTTAGGTTTAATTCCTTTGGGTAGCAGACTGAAGAGCATGTACGTGAAGCATTGTTATCTGAGATTGGGCGGGGAACGTGGTGTCAGAGTGAGAGAAGTGATGGAAGATGTGAGGCGGTGGTGGGGGGTAGGGACTTTGAGGAGTGTATGAGTATGTTGAGATACTTATTACAAGTAAGAAATCCGGAAAATGTAACGGCGTTGTGTTTTGGGGAGGTTGGTAAGGTTAAAGAGGTGTTGGAAGGGAGACTGTTTTTCCATTATATAATTGGACACGAATCTGGGAGACTTCAGTAAGTTACGGGTGAAGTCAAGGGTAAAGGAAACTATGTATAGGTTTTTACATGGGATTTTGCCAACTAAAGTACGACTGTATCAGATGGGAATTTTGCAGTCTCAATGTTGTGTTTTGTGTGGGGGGGAGGAAACAGCATATCATGTGGTGTATTTCTGTGAGCATATCGAGAGGGCACGTCTATGGTTACGCAGAGTGTTGGATATGGTGGGTGGGAGTAGGTTAGTGGTATTAAGGGCACTGAGTTTGGATATAGAGGGAGTGGGAGATAGTGTGAGGAGGGCCGTCATGTATTTAGTGGCAGATTATGTCTATATATCGTGGGTGATGAGGGAGGTGGGGGGGGAGGAACGAATAAGGGCTTTAGCAGGACATTTCTATAAAACAAAGTGTATAAATGAGGTAGTGTATGGACGTAGATGGGCTAGAGATTTTCCGGTAAACGTATAGAGGTATGACTGTGAGAGGGTTGCGCGAATTAGTGTTGTAATGGCTGGGTGGACTGGTCTCTGTAAAAGGGGGGAGGGAAAAATGAATTACATGGATATAGAATATCATGATTATTAAGCATAGTTTCCTGAGAAGCAAGAGGCGGCTTATCAATTCGATTAGGGGCTATAATGTTGTATTATTAACCATAGTGCGTGAAAGAGCAAGTCTAAAATTGCTATGAAACATGTCAATAAACATCTAGAATTTGTTGAACAAGACAATACGTGTTTAATAATATACATTCTTGGTATATGTAATACAAGTGTGTGTTTCAATATCCAGTGTACAGTTATCATATTGTTTGACATTGTTCACTATAGTAAAGTATGTGTATTATACATATATTGTCATAAAGTAAATAGTTGTCAGTATTTTAAAAGTTCTTTGAATAGTTTTAAGATGTTGTGGAGTCTATATTTCATGTCAGCTCATTGATAAACGTGTAAGTGTATTGCAAAAATATGTAATTTCATTTATTTCTGTGGAGGACCTGCTAAGGCGTCTTTTATTTATTAATGCATTGTAATGTTTTAAACTAAAAATGATAATGTATGGAGTATATAAAACAGTTAAGGTACATGTTCACCATTGTGGTTTAGCGCAACTTTTGAGTATAATAATAACAATAACGTAAATGTGGGGGGGGGGTGAGTCACTAGTATTGTAAGTGCTTTGTGTCATTGTACATTATGAAAAAACAAAAAAACAGTAATGGAAGCACTGTGTTTTTTGCAGTATTGTTAGTTATGTAGTTAGGTGTATATCAGAATCATTATGAATAGTGTTACTCAGTGGACCGGAACAGAGCCACTGATAATGCCTCTTTTTATATATATTTATATCACATTTATATACGTAACCATCTATGTATATTGTATGAACTGCTTTAAATAAAATATAAAAAAAATGTCTTTATAATATGTTCAGTGCAATGCATTGCATGGTCTGTAGTCGATTATTAAGTACCATTTCGAGGGATGTGTATATAAATGTGTCGAGGGATGTGTATATAAATGTGTCGAGGGATGTGTATATAAATGTGTTGTTCATATCATGTAATTCTGTTGAGTAACTCCAACATGGTTTGGGTTAAGTGATAGGATGAGGGAGCAGGGAGGGGGGGTGTACCCACACGGAGTTGTAAGTGTGGTGTGTAATATTAGCTGTAGGGCGGATTGTGTTAATTTATAGACTTAAATGAGTTTTACATATTATATTTTTGTAATGTCATGTTTTAAATAAAATATATAAAAAAAAAAAAGTTTGCCTGCCTACCGAGGGAGTCCCTTTAGTCATGTATATACGCAACCCCCCCCCTGTTCAACAGCCTCCCATCAAGCATTAGGGGAATTGCCAATAAACCCCTGGCTGCCTTCAAGAGAGAGCTGGACAGATACCTAAAGTCAGTGCCGGATCAGCCGGGCTGTGGCTCGTACGTCGGACTGCGTGTGGCCAGCAGTAACAGCCTAGTTGATCAGGCCCTGATCCATCGGGAGGCCTGGTCATGGACCGGGCCGCGGGGGCGTTGATCCCCGGAATAACCTCCAGGTAACCCCCCCTCTTTCCCAATCCCTTACTATGTGTAACAGTAAGTAGTTTCCCAGACTACAATGAATCACTTGCAACAATGATTTACCAGACTGAGAAAAAAGTATCAATAATATATCACTGAAAAAAAGAACTTACAATAGAAATTTACCAGACCGAAAAAAGCAAGGCTCACATTGCCCCCATCACAACGCCAGTGATTTATATACACAAATTCATGCATCAGTTATATTCACCGAGAAACGTTCGACTCGTAGGGACTGATCCAAGGAACGGGACGGCAGTTCAAATTCCTTGGATCGAGAGCCTTTAGCCGGGATAAAAGTATCCCCTTGAATGTAACTCGTTAAATTACTTTTGTTCCTGAAAAAGAGCTACTCGAATGGGTTGTTCTGCCAACTCAATTATTCTAGGTGCTTGGAATCTTGGTAGACCGCATACATCACTAGCATTTTTTTATTTCACGGAGCAAAATCCATTGCCTTAGGACAGATTCAGTCCAGGAAAAGGGAGGGTAGGGTGGTCTCAACTTTTTGGATCAAGAGCCCTTCATCAGCGTAAAGGCTCTTTGTGCATAGTAGTATAAAAGTAGTATGGCTTAAAAAATATATAATGAATAGCATAAACATTTTGCATTATTTATGGGAGAGCTAAATCAGTAGGGGCCGTGCAGCATCTGAAAAATTAAGTCATTCAGGTTCGATCCAAGGAAAGGCAACAAATGTACAATTCTTTACATCAATTATTATTATAATCAAAAAGAAGCGCTAAACCACAAGGGCTATACAGACTTTATATCAAAAGCTTCTCACCAGCATCAGTTTCACGTCAGCCATTATTACTGAGGCCGACCACCCCACCAGTCAAAGCATTATACATATGAAACACCTTTCATTTATCAAGCAATACCACTTACCATATCAGGAGAAGTTACTTCGCTTGCTCCCTCTGCTCGCTGAAGAACAGAAAACCTCAAGGGGACAGGGAGAGGGTAGAGATATACGTATCAAGGATAGAGACCTGGCCAGCAGCATCCTCCCTTGTTGTACCCCTCAGTCACTCTACTAACACAATGGTGCGTCATTCCCCCCCCCCCAAGAGTTTAAAAAAAACGAATTTGTCCCTTCTCTTAACAGCCTAAATTGGTATTCAAGATGAAAAAAAAATCCTGTATAAAAAATTAAGCTAATAGTAAATGGAGATAATTTTAAATTAGCTCATTGTGAATATGATATTAAAATTTCTGAACAATCGAAGATTTTTATTGTTGGGTTAAAAAATTTTCTTGTTTATTTATATACAAATATAAATCTAAGAATAGTTGTTGATGCATTCTGGTAACTATTGCTAAGATTTAATCGCTATAATCATATTCCATATTAATATATAGGGGTTTAATAACTATATAAGCGCCAGCCTCCTTGTTTGTGCTCCAGAATCTCTGGAACTACGGTGCTTTACACAAGATATAGCTAATGTTTTAACACTGGAACTGGAGTCCTGCAGCAAATGGTTAGTAGACAACAAACTATCATTACACCTCGGGAAAACTGAAGCCATTCTCTTTGGCACGAAACTAAAACTGGCCCGGTGTCCTGGTGGCTAAAGCTCCCGCTTCACACATGGAGGGCCCGGGTTCGATTCCCGGCGAGTGGAAACATTTCGACACGTTTCCTTACACCTGTTGTCCTGTTCACCTAGCAGCAAATAGGTACCTGGGTGTGGGTCGCATCTGGGGGACAAGATTAAGGACCCCAATGGAAATAAGTTAGACAGTCCTCGATGACGCCCTGAATTTCTTGGGTTATCCTGGGTGGCTAACCCTCCGGGGTTAAAAAACCGAACGAATCTTATCATAACTGAGAAGGGTAAATAATATTAATGTTCAGTGTAATGGGGAGTCCATCACTTTGGTTTTATAAGTAAAATATCTGGGAATCCCCTTTGACCCATGCATGTCAGGAGAATTGATCGGGAACAGTGTAGTAAAGAAAGCGAATGCCAGACTGAAGTTCCTGTATAGACAAGCACAGTGTCTACCTACTGAGGCTCGCAGGACCCTATGTCTAGCCCTTATACAATGCCATATGGATTACGCTTGCTCTTCATGGTACTCTGCCTTGACAAAAAAACTGAAAGATAGACTGCAAATCACCCAGAACAAAATTGTAAGATTCATCCTGGGGCTGGGACCAAGAGAGCATGTAGGCCAGGATGAATTACAGCAGTTGGATATGCTGAATGTTGAAGACAGAGTAAAACAACTGAAGCTAAATCATGTTTATAAAATTGCTCACAAACAGTGCCCAGAATATCTTGCTGTCAATTTTGTCAAGGTTGGGAACCAAAGCAATCATAGTACTAGGGGGAGAGAGCACAACTTTGTAGTACCCACAGTCATTGGCTAGGCTTCAAACACCTTTTATTGTACAGCAATAAAGGAATGGAACAGACTACCCGCACATGTCAAAGCCAGTCATAGCATGAACCAGTTGAAGAAGAATGCCAGGTGTCTGATGAATGTAGCTACAGAAAGGGAGGGGAATGATTTTCTATTTTTTAGCTAACATACGTGTAAATTTGACCTTATTCCTGGTAATGTCCCTCGTATTGTAGTCTTATTGACCCTCGTGTAGTAGACAGTCTTTTTAGTATGATAATAAAATGTTATCTTCATTATAGAACAATAAGAAATATTGTAACCTTTATATTATAATAATAAGGTAAAAGGACCCCAATGGAAATAAGTCACTCTGTCTGACTTTTTTGGGTTATCCTAGGTTCTCTACACATATGCTGCTATGTATGATAATTCTGTGTAACTGTATTTGTGTATACCTGAATAAACTTACTTACCGGTAGGGTGGTGGCCTCCGCGATCATTGATTTACTCTAGTACCTGACTATAAATGAATGGTTTTCTCTCTTACCTTTGGTCTCTTACTAAAGAAAACGGTTTAATACACAGGGGTAACAATACGAAATCACGTATATTGCATAGGTTAAGCAAAAAATAGCAAGATTTTCGTGATTTTTTTTTACGTAAACAGCTGTGCGGGCGTTTACCCCAATATCTCGAAAGTAAGATTTTGGCCTATTGCTTGACAAAAGCCATTATCATAATAATTATTATTTTGACATGATACATTGACATGATACAGGTGGCCCGGTGGTCTGGTGGCTAAAACTCCCGCTTCACACACGGAGGGCCCGGGTTTGATTCCGGCGGGTGGAAATTCCGACACGTTTCATTACACCTATTGTCCTGTTCACCTAGCAGCAAATAGGTACCTGGGTGTTAGTCGACTGGTGTGGGTCGCATCCTGGGGGACAAGATTAAGGACCCCAATGGAAATAAGTTAGACAGTCCTCGATGACGCACTGACTTTCTTGGGTTATCCTGGGTGGCTAACCCTCCGGGGTTTAAAAATCCGAACGAAATCTTATCTTATCTTATTGTTATACAAAGGAACATAATAGTTGGGTGTGCATGTCAAAAGTCCTTTGCATGCAGATAATTTGGGGCAAACTTAAAATTAGCAGTATGATGAATAAGGCCATAACAGTTCATATGGTCATTAAATGAGTTACAATGATTGCAAAAGAAATGAACATTCTATTAGGTAAGAAGCCGAGGGAGTATTTTTATATTACTAGTTTATACCTAGTTGTACTTTAGTTCATTCCAGCGCTTTCTTGATAGTTGTGACAGAACCCACAGACATAACACCAGACACAAACATCTCTACGACATTCCCCGTGTCCGACTAAACCTTTACAAAAATTCAATGTATGTCAAAGGCCCTAAAATCTGGAATACCCTACCTGAGAACTCTAGAACTGCAGACACATTCATCACCTTCAAAACTACCATTAGAAAACATCTTATCTCCCTGATACACCCCGTCAACTAACTACACGAATTCCACCTGGTGGTTCACACTTACACTCACTCACTCATTTGACCATAAACGGAAATATTAATCTCAGTCTTAAAATAATGAATCCTGTGATACTCCAATACTGAAACTATGTACTGTGCCAAAACAAAAGCATTCACATTGCTAAACTCACAAACTAGTATTTAGTCACTTAGCCATAATACCAACTTACCTCATAATTTGTAATATTTTACAATTAAGAATAAAACTAAGTATGCCCGAAATGCCTAGCCATGCTAAGCGTTCTAGTGGTACACTCTGTAATCACAATTTTACTACATGTAAACCAAACAATAACCAAATTTCTGTAAACTCAGCATTGTAATCCTTATAGAGAATAAACTTTGAAGGTTGTGTTCTCAGCACTACTATTTTCCTCTTAGCTATAAATGACCTACCTTCCATTCTTCCTTTGCATGTTTGGTCGTCACTTTATGTTGATGACTTCGCCATAGCTTACTCGGGCGCTGACTGTCGAATAGTAGCAGCCTTCCTTCAGGTTGTGATAGACAGTCTCTCCCATTGAACCACTTCTCATGGCTTTAAATTTCTAGTACAAAAACCCGGTTCATTACCTTCACTAGACGTCCTCTAATTCTGGATACTCCCTTATACTTACACGGCTCGCATATTCTGGAATGTGATTCGGTCAAGTTTCTGGGCCAGCTGATGTGGAAACCACACATTTCTTCTTTAAAGACAACTTGCTATGGTCGGCTAAATCTCCTTAAAGTTCTTGCGCATCATTCATGGGGAGCAGATCATCGCACTCTCCTTCATATCCATTCCACCCTAGTCTTGTCCAAGCTGGATTATGGTGACAAAAATCATTCTGCGGTCTCCCCCACAACTCTAAGTTAGATCCCATTCATCACCAAGGTCTCCCTCTGTGCCTTGGTGCCTTTCGTTCATCCCCTGTTGAAAGCCTCTATGCAGAAGTAAATATTCCATCCTTGTCCGATCGCCGTGATGCTCATTGCCTTTGCTATTATGTTCATTCTAAGTAAGTAAGTAAGTAAGTAAGTTTATTCAGGTATACACAAATACAGTTACATAGAATTATCATACATAGCAGCATGTGTGTAGAGAACCTAGGATTACCCAAAAAAGTCAGACATAGTGACTTATTTCCATTGATCTCCACAACCCTTCCGTATATAGGATGGTCACTGATGTTAGTAGACGTTCTTTATTTGTTCGTCGCCCCTGCTTACTCCGCCCCTTTCCTCTCTGCCTCCATATACTCTTGTCTTCTCTTCAGTTACCACCTTTCTATGATCATGTAGTATCTCACTTTTCTCTGCACCCTTGGGAAGTTCCAACTGTTCGTGTCTGTTCTTTCCTACTCCCATGCGCAAAAGCCCAACTACCTATGGTGGCTTCCCTCCCTTTTTCTTTACCCCTTCTTCTCTCATTCTCATGCCATCGCAGAGTATACCGATGGTTCTCAGTCTTCTGACGGCGTTGGATTCGCAGCAGTGTTTCCGGACAGTGTCATGCTAGGGCATTTATTATCCTCGGCTAGCATTTTTACAGCTGAATTGTATGCCTTTCTAGTAGCACTTACCCGTATAGCATCTATGCCTGTGTCACCATCTGGTGTTGTTTCAGACTCCCTTAGTGCGTTACAGGCTATAAAATAATGATACACCTCACCCAACTTTGGCTACACCGTATCTCTAGCAAACACAAAGATATTGTTTTTTTGCTGGGTCCCTGTTCATGTTGATGTACAGAGCAATGAACAGGCAGACACTGCTGTCGGTCAGCAGTACATGACCTCCCAGTTTCATATAGAGGTGTTTCCATTCACAGATATTTCGCAGAAAATTGCTACCCACCTTCCACCCTTGGCAACAACGTTGGGTTTTTGAT